AAGTCTGCGCTCTTCCAAACGTCGTCGCTTTACTTCCTGAAAACACAAACGTGAGCTAGCCGGCGGGTGTGTGCCGGATACCTCTCCGATGCCTAAGTTAGCAAAATAGGCAAAAGCTCTATGTATTCGAGAGTCAAAGTTGTGTTACCTCTCCATAGGTGATGTTGTATGCTTTTATAGGTTCCGCATAGCATAATCCTAGTAGGACTCTTATTCCTCCATATAGAGTCCTCCTAGGAATCATACTCCTGAAAGATAATGCTTATCCTTCAACACCCCCTCACTGCTTAAACCAAGTGAGATGGTTTTACCTCGGTAGTATCACAAAACGACCGAGCTATCACGGTCATGCTAAAGCGGCAAAAACGACCGAGCTCCAACTAGCTCGGTTCTTCCCTTCATTGACTGTACCTCGGTTTGGTATACTCCAACTGGGTTAACAACTTAAGACCGAGCTAGCAATGTACAGTGACGTAATTATCTCACCGCAACTACGTGTGAAGGTTAGCTCGGTTCGGACCTCAACTAGGCCAAACCAGTTAGCCTTTAGACCGAGTTATATCATTTCTTACCCCGGCCCATTGCGTGGCCCAACTCCACAAAGAAGGCAATTTCCTTAGCTCGGCCCAATTGATTTATAAATTACCCTCTCATATAATTTTATGAAAATAAAAGTTACTACTATAAATGATAAATGAATTTGAGTCTAGAAAACCATCTATGAGAGTAGAATGTCAAAGGTTTGGTGTAAATTATTCCAAAAAGTTAGGTGTAAGCTAAATCCACCTACACCACAACACACCTCTTCTAAATCCTTCTTTCTATCATCACATTATCAAACCCCAAAATTTGTGAAACTCATTCCGGCGAATTCCCTATTTTATTTTCTTATTTTATATAATGTTGTATGAGAAGAAACACATAAAAATGATAATTTAAAAATTATGTATTTCTGTATCAAAATTTTTATAAAAAAAATCATAAAATCTTTTAATTGGTGAAAAAAATTATAAATTTTGATACGATAATACATTATTTTTAACTTATCGTTTTTCATGTTAGACAAACAATTTGAGACAAAAAGAGCATAAGATAGAAACAATATTTGATCGTTTGACATATACCATCTACACCTTGATATATTGGTGAAAATAAAAAATACATACATATCAATTGATTTTTGAGAGAGTTACGGGCCGGTCCTTTGGACCGGACTTAATTCCTAGGAAGTCCTGACCCAAAATAATTTAACACATCTTCTATTTTTACAACTTACATTCAGTTGAGTGATTTTATCCTAAACCCAAACACATCCCTATCTGTCTCTCTCCCTCCTATTTCTGTCACCAACACACCATTTCCTCCTCTTCCATCACCAATCATCATCTCCTTCTCCTTCATTGCCATCACCGTTGCTCCTCCCCCATCATTCATCTACTAGCTTCAACACCATAATCCTCCATCATTGATCTACCATCTTCGACATCGTCGTTGCCACCATCTTCCTCCATTACCATTCTACCATCTTCAACATCGTTGTTGCCACCATTTTCCTCCATCACCGGTTTGGGATGCAAAGTGTCCAATCAGTACATTGAAAGGTGTTGTTGATCTTCTACAGATGTGTAACTAATCTAATAAATTTGTTACTCAATTCAATGGTAAATTTGTTACATAATTTATGAATGATAAATTTGTTGCTTAATTTGTTACTTAATTCAGTGATAAATTTGTTGTGATACCCCATCTTTCTCTCTCAAATCAAGTCTACTATTTGTAAACTTTTTAATAAATTCATCAGTGATAAATTTATCACTGGTTTAAGCAAATTTATCACTGATTTAAACAATACAGAGCTCTGAACTCGTCAATGTCGACACACCCATCTCCATTCATGTTGATTTTCTTGATCTCTCTCAGATCTAACATAATCTCTCTCAAATCCAAGGGCCACAGAGACAGTTCTCATGTTCACCAACACCAATGAATTCATCAATGGCTCTGAAACTCGTCAATGTCGACACACCCCATCTTCATTCATGTCGATTTTCTTAATCTTTCTCAAATCCAAAGGCCACAAAGGCAGTTCTCATGTTCACCAACACAACTAATTCATCAATGGCTCTGGCAGTATAATAGCAGGGGCAAAATCAGGATAAAATAAATATAACAGGACTTCCTGGTGCATGAGATAGAAACTTAGGACCTAATGAGTAATAGATTCAATTATTAAAACCGGCTGGTAAAAAACCCTTGATTTTTATTGGGCTGCAAATTATTTTTGCAAGTGTTGGCATCAAAATGGCCCTAAACCTACTTGGTTAAGCCTAAATAATTTAGGCATAATTTAGGCTAAAGGTATGATGTCAATCCATTTAGATCATATTTGTTTGGGCAAACTGAATTATATGAGATTAATTACCAAACCCCATTAAATTGCGTACCATATCACATATTTAAATTGGTATTGCATTATGAAAAGAGATTAAAAATCATATCCAATACAAAACATGGCCTTAGGGCCTACACTCGCACAAATATGGATTGGGTCGAATGGTTTGGTCTAAAAATTAGTTCAGTGTGGTTTGGGCCTTGGGCCTACTCTAACAAATTAAATTTTGATATTTTAATTTTATTAATTTAAATTTCAAATTTTGAACTCGATAATAATTCTAATTGTAAACGGATTAATGATTCATTCACATAATTTTTACTTTCGAATCCCTTCAAATTTAGGGAGAATTTGTGGAAACAAAATTATGTAGATGTAGCGGTGCCATTCTAAATATCGTTTTGGTTCATCTCCGCCTAAAGAGAGTAACGGTTGAAGATTTGTTTGAGAATTGGCTTTTTAAATAATTTTAAAAAACCGTAAAAGATAAAAAATAATAATTTAATAATTTTTATTTTTTAAATTAAAATATTTGCTTCCCAGATATCTTTTGAATTTTTTTTAACATGTATCATTAGCTTATTTGTTATTTTAAATTGATATAACAGCCAAAGACGGATCCACTTATCACTATAGGGTACGAAAGTATGTTTGAGGATGCAAATTCTCAATTTTTTTTGATTATTTTAAATTTTCTAGTATAATATATAATATTTTTCAAATTTTTGGGGGTGCGATCGCTATCATCCGCACCTCCTAGATCCGTCCTTGATAAAAGGACCCCGTCCGAAGTGAGATTTTTTAGCTAAAATGGTTAAAAAGTAGAAACTGCCAATCATATCACTATTTTTATTTTATTTTTACGTGTCTTTTTATAGAAAATTAATTAAAAAAATCAACTAAAGTAACCAATTTCCAAATCTGCTCAAAATGAAAATCATTTTTAACAGATTAACCCTCATTCCATTCTCAAACCCTTCTCTTGTCCTTGTAATGGCTCTTTCATCTCCTCTACTCTGGCCTCGCACTGTGTTTCTTAGATCAATAATACTTCGTAGCTCGAAAATCTTTTGGCTCGAATAGCTCGACTGCCCAAAACGACGTCGTTTTGGGCAGTTTTTTTTTTCCCTATTAGATCTCTGAACGACAAACAGAGGGACGAAGAAACAGGAAGAGAAAGAGAAAAAGAAAGAGAGAGAAGAGAGAAGAGAGAAGAAAGAGATAAAAGAGAGAGAGCTCCACCATCACCACTGCTCGATAGCCCTTGGATTTGAGCGACCAAAGACTCCACTGAGTTTGTTCTTCTTCTTCTTCTTCTTCTTCTTCTTCTTCTTCTTCTTTCAGGGTTTGAAATCAATCAATTTGATTGAAATTGATGAATATGGATTTCACAAAATCAATGGATGTTGATGGTGGTGATGTTGTTGATGATGATGATGAAGATGTTATTGTTGATGAATTTTACAAAATCGATGGATGTTGATGATGATGATGTTGTTGATGATGATGTTGTTAATGATGATGATGTTGATAATGATGTTGATGAAGATGTTGTTGTTGATGATGATGTGTTGATGAAGATGTTGTTGATGATGATGTGTATCTCTCCCTCTCTCTGTGTTCCCCAGCTCCCTCTTCTTTCTTTCTTGTCTCTTCTTATTCTTCATATTCATCTTCATCTTCATTTTCTTCATCTTCAAAGAGAAAAGAGAAAGGGAAAATAAAATAAAAAATCCAAAACGACGTCATTTTGAACTCGAACTATTTTAGTTTTATTGTTTTTGAGTTACCAATTGGAACTGTTACATTGACAAAGCTCCAAGTACCAAGTGTGATCGGAGAGTGGAAGACGACGATCTCACGAGTCTAATCACGATTTCCAACTTCCCACTCTTCTATGATTTTGTATCTCTATTTATTTACACAACACATATCATTCAATATACAAAATATATGAATTGAATGCTAACAAATATGACTTTGAGGGATTCAACCAATTGCATGAGGTTTGACCCTCTGGAATGGCTGGAAAAAGGGGGGGCGGATTTGTTGGGATTTCACCCCTTTTTTTGTTATTTTTTTATATTAAAAATAGAAAAAATAATATGACAATTTATAATATATATTTTTTATTTTTTAACTAAAAATTTTTCTTCCCAAACAAAGTCAAATTAATCGTAATCATCATAGCAATTGTAGCCAATCTACTGCAAATTTCACAAGGAATTTCTCTCTTTCAACGAAATATTTAAATTGTGTTTAGTTCATGAATTTAGATAAGAATTTAAATTAAAAAAAGAAGAGAAAAAATGCGTAAAAAATGTGTGAAATATAACTATATTTTATTCACATTTCACCTATTATTTCTATTTTCTTTTCTAAATTTCTATTCAAATTCATAAACCAAACACAGTTTTAGTTAATTTATTAATTTATAAAAATTAAAAGAAATACATATGTATATATATTTATATTCGACCACCCAAAAAATATAATTAGCTGATCTTGATCCTAACCAAGCAAAGAATTTGCTAACTCTTAATAAGATTTGCATGGTGTATCTTTGCGTGGGAAAAAAAAAATGAGAAATTAAGGTCACAACATCTAATTAAGCAATTATCTCATCATCCCTACAAGTCCTGATTTTGATCTCGGTTATGTTCTTCTCACCCACTTCTACAACGTCACAACATTCACTTCTTCCAATCTACAAGAGAGAGAAAAAGAAAGAGTAAATAATTATAACTCATTCATGATAGAGAGATTGGATAGATAAGTAAAAATGTCTTTTTCATATGATAGATTAAATTGTTTTATTTATAAAAAAAAATACTATCTTGATTTGACTCAATGCGGGTAAATTAATTTGTTTCCCAAATATAATTAATTTTCTTTTATGTAAAATTCTAAAAATACTCCCTTCTGTTGTTATTGGTTTTGAATGGCATTCAAGTTAAGAATTAAAGTGTAATGGATCGTATATTTCAATAATCAAAATTAAAAATTAAAAATGGAGAACTAAAGTATAACAAACCGCATATATGTGAAACATGTTTCAAACTCACCTCAGGGAGCTTTGTCGCCAGCGAGAAGACCCGAACTTTGAAGATAGAATCAGCAGAACGACTCCCACTCAATGAATAAGTTGGTAAACCCCGTGGCTTGGATCGAACATAAGTCATAACAATTTGGTTGTGCCCTTCAAAACTATCAATGGAACTATCAATGGATTCGAAGAACAATACATGAGGAGCTTCACACGAATCAACAAAAGGCAGCCACCGTGTGTTGAACATGTAGTATGGTCGGTGTTTGAGATCTAACCATGGCAAAAATGTCTCAAGTGGTCTCTTCAAAACACTTCTTGGCAACACTTTCTCATAAATATGGGCAGAGTAGCCCCATGAAATGGAAAAAGACCAGTTGGTTTGTTTTTGGTAGCAGATGGTTTGTTGCAGCATATGGGACTGGTCGGTTTTCGCAGCTTTCATGAGGTGGTTTGCAGATTGGGAACGGTTCATGGTGGGAAAGATAGGTTCTATCTGGTCAAAATGGTGGAGGGAGAATATTGGAGATTGTGGATGGGATGACAAAAAACCTGATATATCACCGTGTAGATCAATCTGCATTGTATTACTCCGAACCATAGTGACTTTTTGACTTTTAAATAATTTTTTTAATTTTTTTTCTAATTTTGTTTTTATATTTTTAACTTTAAAATTATGTTTCCAAATGAGACCTTAGCTAGTGAATGTAAAAAATTAAGACTTACCTGATGAATCCCTCTCTCAGCAGATAGAGGAACTCCCAACTCATCTACACAGTACTGAGTGTGTGGGTGATTTTCTGACAACACTGCCAAACAGGTACCCAGCTAGAGAGCACCGGCAGAATAGATTAAGCCCGAATGACCTGCAACAGAAAGAAGAGTTTCCGGCGGTGGCTCGTCCACCCGGGGGCACTCTGACGATCAAGTCAGTGCTTAATATCTCTCAAAGATAACCAATAGTGCTACTAGACAGAATATCAAAAGCATACCTTAGACCCATGAGGGTGCCTCCCTTTTATAGCCAACACAATCCTAGTCCCAATAGAAGCCTAGCTCTAATGGATTTAGGATTACTGCTAATCTTGGACTCCCAGTAGAATTAGGATAAACTCTTTAAGAGTCTCATCTTTACCCGAACTGAAGTCTTCTCCCATTCTAGGACTCTTGTCCCTTATCCACTTATCCCGGATTCCGATATTCTCGCAGATAACCTCGGCCTAGCCGAGATCATCTCGGTGTCATGACCAGGACACGTGGCACCTCGGCTGGCACTTCAGTGACACCTCGGCCACGTGTTGTCATTCAAAAATTATGTCCCCACAACTGCCCCTAGGTTCTATTACCTCGGCATCCTAAGGTGATGGAACCTATATCATTCCTTCCTTTAATCATGACCCCGGTTTAACTTCAACTTGTAAATTTTTCTCAAGTTTCAACAAGTGTTAAACGTGATGTCGGTTTAACTTCAACTTGTAAACTTTTCTCAAGTTTCAACAAGTGTTGAATGTAATCTCGGTAAACTCTTCTCTTCTCGGACTTAATCATCTTAGGCCGAGATCTTGTCTTCTGGGATCTGGGATCCGAGATCTGGAATCCGAGATCGGCTTACTTGGGCTGAGCTCTTGTCTTCCCATATCCAGTGTTATCTCGGCTTTGCTACGACGAACCATTTCTCTTCTCTGGTTTGGACGCCTTTGTCCCCGGCGTGTCCTCCTCGACTCTGGCATACTTTTCTATCCTGGCCATCAGCTCCTCCATGCCTTTTGGCAATGTCTTTGCCAGTGATTTTCGAAGCAGGCAGTCATCCTTCAAGCCGCTTTTAAACGACATGACCACCACCTCTTGGTTACATCCTGGTATTCGGTTGAATACCTCATAATACCTTTTGGCATACTAAACCTTTTCGGGGCCTCAAATTTGTCCAATTCTATCGAGAACGGTGTCCTCGGCTTGACAGGTGAGGTCACCTTGTCATCTTGTCGCTTTCTCTGGAGATAATCCCTCAGATCCTCCTTGGTTCGTCCAGGAGCTCGGCTATCTCCGAATTTCAGCCTCTTTGGTGCACTACTTCCTGTGTCATTGCGAGTCCTTTTGGACCTCCCTCCATTGGTCGCGTTGAAACAGAGGTCCTTCCCCTGAACATGCCGATGTTCTTTGGAGTCAGCTTCCTTGGTGCGATGTGTCCTCTGTGAATCTCCCCTTCTTGATTCTCCTCGTCCGACCTCCCTTGAAGGCCGGTGAGAATGTTCCTTGGTCCTATCGTGCTGAGGAGTCGTAGGAGTTGTCTTCTGCCCCCCTGCCTGGGCATCTTTCTTGGCTGCTGGAATCGGCATATCTTGTGACAGGAACGGTGGCTGCATGACGTTGTTTTGTATCATGAAATTGACAACCGTTTGCAGGTCCGCCAATTTGTTCGCCATTCCTTTCATCTCGTCGTCCCTTCGTAAGCATCTTTCTTTCCATACCTGGAGGTCGTCCTCGTTATAATACTTGCTTCGGTCTGATTTTTTCGACACGTCGCCTTCCTGGCTGACGTCCTCTTCTCCATGATTCTTATCACAGGTTTCTTCGTTGTAGTTGTCTTCTTCGACGCCAAGGTCAATATGTTTCCCACTCTCAGTAGGGGTGTCGTCCCCAACCTTCTCTTTCGGTCTGTCGTTGGCCATCTATTCTCCTTTCGTTCCCACAGACGGCGCCAAATTGTGTGGGTGATTTTCTGACCACACTGCCAAACAGGTACCCAGCTGGAGAGCACCGACAGAATAGATTAAGCTCGAACGACCTGCAACAGAAAGAAGAGTTTCCGGCGGTGGCTCATCCACCCAGGGGCACTCTGACGATCAAGTCAGTACTCAATATCTCTCAAAGATAACCAATAGTGCTTAACTCACTAGACAAAATATCAAAAGCATACCTTAGACCCATGGAGGTGCCTCCCTTTTATAGCCAACACAATCCTAGTCCCAATAGAAGCCTAGCTCTAATGGACTTAGGATTACTGCTAATCTTGGACTCCCAGTAGAATTAGAATAAACTCTCTAAGAGTCTCATCTTTACCCAAACTAAAGTCTTCTCCCATTCTAGGACTCTTGTCCCTTATCCGCTTATCCCGGATTCCGGTATTCTCACAGATAACCTCGGCCTAACCGAGATCATCTCGGCGTCATGACCAGGACATGTGGCACCTCGGCTGGCACTTCGGTGACACCTCGACCACGTGTCGTCATTCAAAAATTATGTCCCCACACTGAGTAATCAAATCTGTTGCGTTCAAATATGGATATCCTCTTAGACACCCTTTTAAATCTTTCACCATTGCTTCAACAAGAGGATAACTCAAAGCAAATCCAGCTCCACCAAATCCTTGATCAAATAAGAACCAAATATTTGACATAAAAAACTCGGAATGTCCCCCAATGTAAACATACTTAGTGTGATCATATTTTTCCAAAACATCAACCCAATTGTCCACAAAAAAGAGAGAATCGTCATCCCCCATCACATACCACCTCACCCCCTCATCACCCTCCCTAAACAACTCCAAAATCCCATGCACCATGCGAACCATGATTGGAGCGACATGCTTTGACTCTTCCACAATTTTGGATATGTCATTGGACACGCGAAGAGGAGGAGAAGAGGGCGGCCAGGGGAGGAGGTCATCGGTGGGGTGTGTGTCAAGGAAGAGGTATCCACGTGTTGCGTTAGGGCGCCACCATGACTCGGTGTAGGCCTTTCGATGTCTCCATGCATTGACAGATCCTACAATGCCAAAAACAAGGTGGTTAAGGTTGGTGGGAGAGGAATGATTGGTATGAGTGAGGCTATTAAGTTGTTGAGAAGGTGGTGACACTGGCCATATGTGTTGGAAGGGGGTGAAGAATTCGGAAGATGGGAAGCTGGATTGGCTGAAAAATAACAGGTATGCTAAGTAGAGGACTAGTCCTGAAATACCAAGAATTTTGCATAGGTTAACAGCAAAATTATCTAACGAAAATCTGTAAACATAAAATTGCATAACATAAACCTTACACTTTGGATCATTTACCATGTGTATTATCAAGAGATCAAGACAAAATGACATACCTGAATCCATTGATGAACGGTTAAACGGAAGCGTCTGATTGTCAATAAAACCTTAATATTGACTTTGTTAGAGCCTTCTAATCCTTTCCCTTATGTGCCTTATGTTTCTCCTTGAGAGGATTTAGAAAACAAAACAGTATTCTTGTTTTTTCACTTGGGAAGGAATAGGGACCATAACCTTTTAAAGGTTGTAATTGGTTTTCATAACTGAAAGGTAATGAAAACCAATAAATTAACCATTATTGGTTTCATAACTGAAATAAATTAACCATTATTAGTTTCATAACTGAAAGGTAATAAAAACCAATAAATTAACCATTATTAGTTTCATAACTGAAAGGTAATAAAAACTAATAAATTAACCATTATTATTATTGGTTTTAAAACTGAAAGGTAATGAAAACCAACTTTAACCAATATGTTTTAATTTCTATTTCTGCCCCTCATAGAAATAGAAATTATACAACTAGTATCTACACATTAGGTCCATAACACATATACCCTTAAGCCTATTAACTAAATTGAATCACTTAAATTGTAGGCTTCTTATAAATGATAACACCACATTTAATTATGTGGTCCCATTGAGACATTATCTAACAAAATCTGCTCAATTTTATGGAAGTTGTTGAAGACTGCATTGTTAGGATGACGGAAACAATATGTGGGTGATTTGTATGTCTTGACTTTGTTTTGCACACATATTTATAAATAATTAGGGGGAGTTTTTTAAATAATTTTCTTTTCAATAAACACAAAACAATAGGTTTCACTTATATTCATTAATGCAGAGCTACCACCTTTATGTCTAGCATAGAACTCCACATTTTTTTTCTAGAAAAATTACCACTCTGGTATTTTTGTAAAGTTATTACAGATTCATAAAAAAGATTATAATTATAGTTATTAAAATTTATGAAATTTATCACTTATTTGTAATTATTTTTTAAAATTTACACTGAATTAAAAATTTTCCTTTTTCTTTAAACCCTGATCCATCTAAATCTTTCTTTATTTCTCTTTTCTTTTTTTTGAACGCGTATCTTAATCACAACTATACCCTAACCTCCACCCCCCACCACTTACATTCCCCTTCCCTAATTTTTTTCTTTTAGTCCCCCCACCTTTTTCTTTCTTTGTTTTTTTTTTCTTTAAACACCTACCCTAATATGAACTATACTCCCATGAACAAATCTTACTCAACTAGCTAGCTAGGCGTCAATGCAAGAGTTTGATTTTGTTTACATACATTTTGAGTATGTAAATAATCAATAATGTTAAACACTCAAAATTTTTACTTCAAATTTTATTCAAAACATTAATATGTGGTTCAAATTTATTCAAGTATAGACCCCACAACACATTAATTCAATTTTTACTACAAATTTATTTTTTGGATAAGAATCGAACCATATTTTCTGGGCAAGAGGACTTATTGATAAATAATATACATATTAAATTTAAAGGGGATTGTGGTGCTAGGCGGTAGCTGGGATGGGGTAAGATTAATTTTAGAGGCATTTATGTGTAGGTCTTAATAGGTAAACTTATGGTCCAATAGGTCTTGTGATAATTAACAGCATTTTTCATTAAACTATTAAAAAAAGTCACAGAAAAATCACTAAATTGTAAGTTTTAGCCATAATTTATAAAAATCGTAACAAAAAAGTTACTATTTGTCAATTTTTAACGACGTATGTAAAAAGTTGTCACAAAAAATTATTTTTAACGATAATTTTACTAAGACTAATTAACTTTCAATATGATTTAATCATAATTAAATCCAACTATTAGGATCTATTAGTAATTTACCCTTAATTTTAATATTGAATGTGGGGTAATTCTATTTACACATCATTACTTATCTTAGTGTACACCATTTACTCAGTTCACACCATACACAAATTAAAACTTTTAATTTTGTCTCAATACACACTAATAATTTTCAGATAATACTAAATTACCCTCATCTTCTCCAACAAATCCTAACCCTAACAATTCTTGCTCCCATAACAATTTAAGCCTGGCATGTCATATTACATTAGATGTATAATCATCAAAGTGTAGATTGAATCAAAAAAAAGGCATTTTCAAAGTAAAATACAAGAAATAAAACAAAATAAATTTCAGTTTAAATGTAAAATTTGATGTGTCGCAGTAAATGCACTAGCAATAACAGAATGAAATGTAATTCTATCAAGCCAAGTAAAAATTGATACTACTATATATCGTCATTAATTTCTACAGTGTTCAAAAATAATCCATGGGAGCATTTCACAAAAAAGTGATGTTTGGTGTAAATTATGCCAAAAAAAAGATTGGTATGTGTTAAACATTTTGTTGTGGGTCAAATTTTTAGGCTATGTTTGATTGCAGATTTTAGAAAATGATTTTAAAAAAAAAAAGAAAAAAAAAAAAGAGAAGTGAAGTGAATATGAATAAAATATACTTACATTTCAACAAATTTCACACACTATTTTCCTTTCTCCTTTTAAATTTCTCTCAAAATCTCTCAACTAAACACAACTTTAGTAAATTTTATTTGTTGAATTCAAATTTTGGATTTTAGTATTTTTTTTTTAAAAAAAATTTGTTTTTTGGGGTTATGTAGTCTGATTTCGAAATGATGTTTCAGTAACTTCTACGAAATTAAAACACCACATGCCTGACTACCAAATAACTTCTCCCTCAACATGGCTTGTTTAGGGCCGAAGTTGTGATGCTCATCCGTTTTAGGGACTTGAGGGTCCCATTTATTATATTGAACCTGTAACCATTGATTGCTGAACAATTTGTGGGTTGGGTTGGGTAAAATGACTTGGGCTAAAAGTTGGACTAATTCCAATATTAAGCCATTCTGGGGGTCTTGGATCTCTTATTTACAAAAGCTAAGCCCGACCCATTTCAAGGCTAGAATAAGGGTAGCTAAAATATCTTGAACTTTCATTAGAGAATATGATAGGATTGTGCCCAGGCCCACAAATTATACATTTTAGAATTAATTAAATTCCAAATGATTTAGTTGATTGGCAATTGCTAATGTGGGGTTTCTATTTACACTCAAAAAATGATTAAGTACTTTCAATTTCTACACTTTGTTTAATTATTTAAAATTTTATATTACTCTCAGTACACCTTATAATATTTTCTAAATTACCCTTGAGTAAACTCAAATAATAAATAATAAATAAATTTAAAAAAATGTCAAACTGGCCATCAAAGCATATCTTCAATGGAGAGACAATAATGTGATCAATCTAGGGATTACTGTTTGCAAAGACAATCCAACTAGGCAATATTTTTATTTTCATTAATTAATTATTTGTTTCTTTTTAATTATTATTATGAAGAAAAAGTGAACATAGATTATTAGGGCCCTTACGGTGATCATCTAGGTTTTAGTATTGAAAAACAGTCTGTAAATTATTCCTTATTCAATTGTTTGGATTTTGGATTTGCACAAATAGAAAAGTGAAAACAAATCGAAAATCCAAACACAACTTAGTGGGCAACATATAGGGATTGTTGTTAATAACTTGTGATAGAATCTATTTTTTTTATTTAATTCCATCAAAACCTCTGATTGTAGCATTTTATCATTGCACACTTAAGAGAGAGGGTGTCTGATTTAGTTGATGCATATGCAAATTGGAAGGATAAAAATATTAATTTAGCTAGCCTCTTAATGGAGTGCTACAATTCAAATTTCTATATAATATAAAAAAATAAAAAATAAAAAATTGCATATTTTGAGTTGTTTCAATTTTACATACTGGGTGGTTTGGGATGATCTAAATAAGTGTTTTGACTTTTTACGAAAAGATGTGCAGAAAGTAGAGAGATAATGTGATCCAAAAGAAAAATAGGTGGTAGCTCGAAATGGGTGAAGGTCGAATGGCCTGAAATTTGAAAACCACGTCGTTTTGCGATTTTCTTTTTTTTCTTCGTTGAACACAGGAGACTAAATGAATCCTCATATTTTTTATGTTGAATTAGTTGAATGTACAACACCATATCATTATTATTTTTTATGTTAAGATATTTTTATGAAGCATCTTTTTGAATTAGTTGAATGTATATGAAATTAAATTGAAATTGAAATTGAAATTGAAAAGACATTTTTTGTGGTAACTAAGCTAATCGCCTTGATTGAAATGCTAGGACATGTTGAATTGTTATATTCATATTAAAGAAATATTTTGGTAATGCTAACTGTTGGATTAGGACAGGTTGAGTTGTTATATAAGTAAACATTTAAGTAATTTGCCAAGCTAGATATGTAATGGTGGGTAGCCGGTTGCTTTTTCTTTGCAGGAAGTGAAATATCTTTCTTCAAAAATGGGATATGCCAAGGGGTTGCTTTTCAGGATCTTTATGGTGGGCGATACTACCCTGCAGCTTCAATGTATACTCTTCCCAATCAACCAAATTGTGTTGTCAAGTTCAACTTTGGCCCGGATTTTGAATTCTTTCCGGAAGCTTTTGGCGACCGCGCTGTCCCAAGACCCATGATTGAAGTTCCTTATCATGGCTATGATGGCAAAGCTGAGAATGGTGCGTCCAGTGAGAAGAAACATTAGCAATACAGCACCTTTTTTAGCAATTTATGATTGAAGTTCAGAATGGTTTCTTCAGTGAGATGAAACATTAGCAATTGAGCATTTTTAGCATATTTTTCCGATCATGGGTAAAGTTGGGGATGAATTCATGTTTGAATTATATTGTAATCTTGGAAAAAAAAATTTGTTGTGTCTGGTAAATGAACCGTCGAGTGTTATAAACTCAAATTTTCTATGAAAACAGTAAAAGACTGATTGGTAGACTGCATGTGAATTTCAGAAAGATGTTGCATGACCTCAATGGTGCACTTTACAGTTCTAAATTTGATGTATTACTGGCTGTTATGCATTTTACATTTGCATTTATTGAGTT